GGGGGGGGGGGGGGGGGGGGGGGGAGGGGGAATAGCTTTATAGGCGAGAGCGAATTGATGCAAGGCAATCAACAGAGGTGGGTGCCGAGAGTTGGAAGGTGCAGCTGGTGGTGTGAGATGCGGGATAGATTTTAGTGATATTTAGACGTCGGCGTCCACCAATGAAAATCAGATACGGCTGAAACTTCCTGACATCCCGGCACCGGTGCTGACTCAACCCTGTCCATGTCGCCGCGTGTGTTGACTACCACGCGCGCCACTCGTCCGCACACCAGCTCCTGGCAAAGTCATACTTCGAAACATGCGGCACTTTGAGCCGTTGCTGCGATGGACGGATGGGAGCGCGTGCCGAAGCGGCGCGGGGAGGCAGGGGGAGCGCAGGGAGAGCGCAGGGAGAGCGCAGGGAGAGCGCAGGGAGAGCGCAGGGAGAGCGCAGGGAGAGCGCAGGGAGAGCGCAGGGAGAGCGCAGGGAGAGCGCAGGGGTGGCCTGCGGGCTGCCGGCTGTCGCCGCCTGGTGCGAACCCGGGAAAGAGGTAGCCTCCTCGTGCATCGAGGACAACACGTTCGACGCGCCGTGCGCCTCGCGCACGCTCTCGCGCCTCCTCGCTCGACACAGCTGTTCGGTTGGCGCAGCTGTTCGGTTAGCGGATGCTGCCGGTTGACAGAGTGTCAAGGGTTCTTAGCTCTGTTGTAAATAAAGAAAGAGCCCGTCCATGCTGTCTTAAAGGAGGGCCCTCTGGGTCTCCTTTAAGACAGCATGGACAGCCCATGTGTGCATGTATATGTTCGCAATTCGGCGGGTTGCGTGCGAGCTGCGAGTAGTTTATCAGAAGCGCACGGCACGTATTGTACAGTAGTACGGTTTTGCGGACTTGGGCCCTGAACGGCCCTGAGGGCCGTTCCTAACGCGGAGAGACTGATGCGGAGCGGCGCGGAAGGTGCTCGAAACGCCGCGAAGCTTCCGAGACGAGCTTTCGAGACGGGCGGTGGCCGGGCAGACGACAGCGCGTGTCGGCTTTCAGAGGTGGGCGGGGGGGGGTCCGTTACGACGCCCAGCGAGGGCCGTTGGGTAAAACTCGACCACGTGTGCAAGTTTCGTGTCAAGAAAACGGGCGAGGAAGTATAGCATAATATGCTATACTTCCTCGCCCGTTTTATAATATTATTATGCTCGTGGTGGCGTTGTGCGCGTGTGGTTGGCGGGTGAGGCGGGGAGCACATCCAATGGGGGCGCGCCACGTGGCGGGCGCGGCCAATCGGGACGCAGCAAGCGCTTGCACGGCCGTTGCCGGCGGGCGACGACCGCGAAGAGTCTAGAACCGGCCGCCGGCAATGTAAGCCCGGCCAGGCTGTCCCCAACCGCCGCGGCCCGCGCTTATACCCCGCCAGACGCCCCGGATCACACTGTTCGAGAGACTTCCATCGCTCGCCGCTCATACCAACCCGCGCTCTAGACGCTTCTGCGCATCCCCTCCAATTCTTCGCATTCCGTCTACTTAAGCTTCCGCCGCCGTCGACCCCCTCCCCCCCACGCCGCCACCAATTCCCATTACCTTGCTAATTAACCACCTCTTAGTTGACCACCGTTGACTACTACCACTCGCAACTCTAACACAACTGCGCTCCGCACCTTTCGCCGCTATGTCTAACGCTGTCGGAGGGCCGTCTATCGGCATCGACTTGGGCACGACCTACTCTTGCGTCGGCGTCTGGCAGAACGATCGCGTCGAGATCATCGCCAACGACCAGGGTAACCGCACCACTCCCTCCTATGTCGCCTTCACTGACTCTGAGCGTCTTATCGGCGACGCCGCCAAGAACCAGGTCGCAATCAACCCGACCAACACCGTCTTCGACGCCAAGAGGCTTATCGGCCGCCGCTTTTCTGACTCTTCCGTCCAGTCGGACATGAAGCATTTCTCGTATGAAGTTATCAACAAGGACGGTGACAAGCCGTTCGCCAGGGTCCTGTACAAGGGCGAAAAGAAGGAGTTCAGCCCTGAAGAAATCTCCGCCATGATTTTGGGCAAGATGAAGGATGTTGCCGAGTCCTACTTGGGCAAGGAGATCAAGACAGCCGTTATCACTGTCCCCGCCTACTTCAACGACTCGCAGAGGCTGGCTACCAAGGATGCCGGTACCATTGCCGGTCTCAACGTCTCTCGTATTATCAATGAGCCCACCGCCGCCGCCATCGCCTACGGTTTGGACCGCAAGGCTGGAGGCCAGACCGCCAAGGAGAGGAACGTTCTCATCTTCGATCTTGGTGGTGGAACCTTCGATGTCTCCCTCCTCACTATTGAGGATGGTATCTTCGAGGTGAAGGCCACTGCTGGTGACACTCATCTCGGTGGTGAAGATTTCGATAACCGTATGGTCAACCACTTTATGAACGAGTTCAAGAGGAAGAACAAGAAGGACATTTCTGGCAATCCCCGTTCCCTCCGTCGTCTTCGCACTCAGTGCGAGCGTGCGAAGCGTCAGCTGTCCGCCGCCACTCAGGCTACCATCGAGATTGACTCGCTTTTCGAAGGTGTTGACTTCTACTCCTCACTCACGCGTGCCAAGTTCGAAGAGCTCTGCATGGACCTTTTCCGTGGTACCTTGGAGCCGGTTGAGAAGGTTCTCCGCGACTCAAAGATCCCCAAGGCTGATGTTGATGACATCGTCCTCGTTGGTGGTTCCACCCGTATCCCTAAGGTCCAGGGTCTCCTCATTGACTTCTTCAACGGCAAGGAACTCTGCAAGAACATCAACCCGGATGAAGCTGTTGCTTATGGTGCCGCCGTCCAGGCTGCCATCCTCGCCGGTGATACTTCTGAGAAGACTCAGGATTTGCTCCTGCTTGATGTCACCCCGCTCTCTCTTGGTATCGAGACCGCTGGTGGCGTTATGACCGTCCTCATCAAGAGAAACACTACTATCCCGACCAAGAAGCAGCAGATCTTCTCTACGTACGCTGACAACCAGCCTGGTGTGCTCATTCAGGTCTTCGAGGGTGAGCGTACTCGCACGAAGGACAATAACATCCTTGGCAAGTTCGAGCTTTCGGGAATCCCCCCAGCCCCGCGTGGTGTGCCCCAGATTGAGGTTACCTTCGATATCGACGCCAACGGTATTCTCAACGTTGGTGCTGAAGATAAGAGCACCGGTAAGAAGAATAAGATCACCATTACTAATGACAAGGGTCGTCTCACAAAGGAGGACATTGAGAAAATGGTTCAGGATGCCGAGAAATACAAGGCTGAGGACGATGCTGCCAAGGAGAAAATTGAGGCACGTAACGCTCTTGAGAACTACTGCTATACTCTCCGGAACACCATCTCTGAGGATAAGGTTAAGGAGAAGATTTCCGACGACGACAAGAAGGCCATTGAAGACAAGGTCGCAGAGGTCCTCGCATGGATGGAGGAGAATGAGACTGCCGAGAAGGAGGAATATGAGCAGAAACAAAAATCCGTCGAATCTGTCGCAACCCCCATCATCACGAAGATGTACCAGAGCGGCGATGGCGCCGGAATGCCAGGTGGCATGCCCAACATGGGTGGAGCCGCTGGCGCTGCACCGACTGCCTCGGGCGGTGAAGATGTCGAAATTTCCGAAGTAGACTAATAGAGTTTTCCGAACTTAACACGCGAATATTTTTGACGCTCCGCCTGTGGAAATAGAGCTTAGAAGCTGGATGTCTTCAACCCTTGTATCCGAAGGAACGTGCGAAACGTTCACTTTCATCAACGTAAACAGTGTAACTTTTTGCAGAAACTTTTTGAATCACCTTTTCTCGTTCTGAGATCCCCGTCGTCACTCTACCACTTGATCTAAATGTGCATGCGAATAGAGCACCTGGCAGTGGGCTTCCGCAGTATAAATCCCACTGGGTATGATAGATCAGGCTTGAGCACGCTAGCCCTTATTATCTCTCCCTATGTGCGCGTTTCTCGCGTTTCTCCTTTCGGCACGGTGTTTAGTACCTGCGACAAGGTGGGCTTCTGTGCTCCAGTGGAAAAAGCAGTAACTTAACGAGCAGGTCGGTGGTTGAGATCTGTCCGATTGACAACAGCATTTGAGCGGTCGTCATGCATCTTCTGGAGAGTGGAAACCAGGAACAAAGCATGTTGTTGTGTGGATGATTTTCATCACTTCATTGCTTGCAAGGTGTTTATTTTTCTTGTGCACTCACCATTCCCTTCCGGACGTCCGTGTGTGCATGTCTCTCGCAAGGTCGCAATCGTCCTCGATTGCCGACTACACCTCTCTCCACATCGGCAGTGGCGTTTTACGGTAAATGTTGGGGTGACTGCGAGACAGCTAGAATCAAATGTCTGCAGTGTTGGACTCTAAGAATGTTGATAATGCAAGAAACTCGAAGACCCTCTGCCATGCACAAGTCGTTCTCCATAATGGTGCCAGTATCTTAGCTTGAACAGTAAGAGGACAAACGCAGTCGATCGCTTCCGCGCTTTCAATTGAATTCTCCTCGAGTGTCTCCTCCAATAAAAGTTCGTCGTATGTAACTGTACATGGCTGCAAACCGCACAATGGGAGGAGCAGCGCACTTCAAAGCCAATGTGCAATCTCCCAATGTGCATGTTTTGGATGTTTAAGAGTAAACGGTTGGCCAGCTCCAAGAGCGGGGAGAGCTAGCAAGCAGCATCATCAAAAAGCGTGCACGAATTCCGTCTCTTGCACAAATCTGGTTCCTGTACTTTGTGCGAGAACTGTTTTCTGGCACTGCCCTGCTTTACCTAAACACTCGCGTCAGCATGTGATATAAGGACAAACCTTGGTGTCCTTGCTTCCGTCCATACAACTCGCATCGCGCTGCCACTTGCTGGTCTACTATGGCTACCGTCGACGCTCTCCCGTCGAGCCCGGCTCTATCGCCAAGCCCCTTGCGGGTAATCGACTACTCTCCCACCTACGGCGACCAAGTGATCAACCTCTTCGTCACCGGCATGACAGACAACATCTCGGCATCGCAAGACTCCGTCGAACGCGACATGATCTCCGGCTTCATTCCGAGCGCCGCTACGACACTGCGCGACATTCCATCGCTGGTCAACGCACCTGGTGGCGGTCGCTTCTTTCTGGCGCTGAGCCCGAATAACGACCTGGTCGGCATGCTTGCCATGGCGCGCTCCGACGAGGATGCGAGCAACGAAACTGTGGAGCTGACCCGCATTTCCACGGCGCGTGACTGGAGGCGGAAGGGCGTCTGCAAGGCGCTGGTGGCTCACGCAATCAGGGAAGCGGTTGACGAGTTTGCCGTCAGCAGCGTTTACCTTCACACTTTGAGTAGCGTCGATGCCGCTATGAATACGTACAGCAAGCTAGGCTTTGTTTTGCAGGGACCGCGCAAGTGGGCGAAGCCGTCGGTTGTCAAATTCGTTATGAACGTGGAGGGGAGCGGTTGGTGGCAGAAGCAGCCGGGTAGAGCTGGGGCCCCGCCTGTGACTGAAGTCGTGGCACAGGGTGTTCAGGCTGAGACTGGGGGCGGACGCGGAATTGCAGGTCACTAGTTGCACTTGTAAAGCATAAGCCCATTGTAGTGGGGGTTTTCAACATTGCACCGATTGAGCTGGCCAGCGCCCGGTCTTTGCGAAACTAAGCGAATCTATTGCCTTCCACAGTTTCACCTGCTGGCGGCGTCGATATGTTTGAAAGAGCAGAGTGACTGGTGGAGTATTATTGGGCACGAGGTACGCCAAGCCTTGTGCACATGTACGGCACTGAGCATATAAGGGGACTTAAAAGGCAGCGACTTCGCATAAGTATGAATGGCTTCTCTTGGCGGTCAGAGCACCCCCATGCAAATGAATACCGCGCCTTCGGCCTCCTCCGTGCAGGCATCTCAATTCTTCATCACGTCGTTCTCCGAAGTATACGTCTGCCACATCGAAGAAACTGTACAGAGTGAAATAGGACTGTGCGTGAAAGAATTCATGCACAGGGCGATTGCAGCGGGACAGCGACCCTTCTCACTAGCTGAAGAAAAAACCCTCGAGCAAACGCTACGCCGATCAGCATTAAGGAAAATCCAACAGACAAGCGATGAATGTTGCGGCAAAGTTTTCCTTGCTTTCGACCGGGTGACGCGCAAGATGGCGGGGCTAGTGGCTGTGATGCTTGACGACAGGTTAATCCCGCCGAGAAGGGCGGAGATTCTGATCGTTGGGGTGGCCTATCGGTTTCGCAGACAGGGGCTGGGGAGGATGTTGGTGTCATTTGTGTGCAAGCATCTGCAGGAGAACTGCATGGTGCAGGAAGTGACGGTGTGCGTAGACTCGCGGCAAGCAGAGGTTGTGAGCTTTTGCAAGGCGAATGGGTTTTTAAAGCACTGTTACGAATGGTCGTTTCCTTGTACTCCGATCATAGCACGGTTCCATCGGTTTCTACCATGCAAGTAGCAAGAAGACAACACGGAAGCGTATCCCGCGTTGATCTGAGAGACCTGGAAGGAAAGCGCAGTAATTGATATCTTTGATGCACCGTATTCGATGCCTTGAAGGAAGAAAGGCGCGTAGCGTGAGCTCTGGGTCACGGAAATTCTCTCCCGCAAATTTGTCATTTTTGGAGCATTCATCACCGCAGTAAAATACTCCGCAGCAAACGAGCTATCAGCCCCGTCCATGATAACAACAAAAACTATCAACGCCCCACCACCCCACACGATTCTTCCCTCCTCCCCCTCCCCCCGCCTGTGTCAGTCACATCACGCACCCCCCGACCGCAACCTTCGCCTCCTTCACTCAAACCCGCCATGTCGGCCGTCACCGCCTTTGTTCGCAAGCTCAACCTGACGCAAATGAACACCCCCGCCATTCTGCGCACCGGCCAATCCCTCAGTCAAAAAGTCGGCATCCCAGAAGCCGGCGCCGCCGCCCGATGGGGCGTCGCCGTCGGTCTCATCGTGTACTGGATGATCGAACCTAACTTTGAAGAACCGAGCGCGTAACCGAGACGTAACCCCTCCCCCTCCTCATTGCGGCCACACGAGTCGTCGCACTAGACGCCGGCCGTCCTATCATGCCTCGACGACCCAGCGATGATACACGAGCGTCAGTGTTGAGCCCCGCAATGTGCAATGACAAGGCGCAGGGGTAAAGGATTAATTCTGTCACCAAATCTCCCGCACAAGTTAGGGCATTATTTCACACTTTCTATCGTCTTCAAAGTAAACGAGTCGAACAAATTCGGAAAGAATCTTAGACCCTCCGTCGTGGAGTCCCTCGCCAAGAAACCCGCCTTTTCTGCGTCCTCGAGCATTGACGTTGCCCTCTGTATCGGCACGTGCCTAATCCTGACAATGTCGATCGGTGTCACGCTCCGTCTCTCCTCGGCCAACTCCCTCAGCGCCACCGCCCCACTAGTATCCCTTGACGCATCCAGTTTCAGTGCTGCAACACCGCTTTCCAGCCGCACCTCCTCAATTGCCAGCCCCAGCCGCTTGAAAAAGCCACACGCAATCCGGAAGTCCTCCGGCGACACAAGCTCCGTGCTCGCGCGATTCCGCATCACCAGGCAGTACGCATCCGTCAGGGTCATGATGCCCCCCAGGTTTAGGATAGGTTTCCGTAGAAAGCCCGCCAGTTGTCGCGCGAGCTGCTCGCGGTACGTCCTCACGTTCCCTCCTGTGCTCTCCTTCGTCACGGGTGATTCGATTCCCATTTCTGCCATCATGCTCAGCAACTCATTCTCTTCTTCACCCCGCTGGGCCTTGGCATTAGCCGTGCGAAAGTGCCTCGCCACCTCCATCAAATCGGCCGCCTCATTGCGCAGATGGTCGAGGCTTCCAAAGCCCGAACTGATCACGCGCTCCTGGTCCCTGTTGTGCTTGACGACCTTGTCTTGCACGCCGACCACGCCCAGGCGTCTCGATACGTACTGGCCCTGCTGGATCTTCTTCGCCTCTTCGCGTTGCTTATCCCTTGCAATACGTACCCATTCTGCGTTTCGCACGGCGTTTCGCACGCCCTGCGTAAACGCTTCCAAGTCGCGGGCGCGCGAGCGGTTGAGGAAGAGAATTTGCACGCCGAGACCGAAGCGGAGCGTCGCGCGCGTGGTCGAAAAGACGGAGGCCTTGGTTTCTACGGCGTTGGACGGGAGATGCTGGAGATGCGCGGCGACGGCGGAGCGGCGCGCTCTGTCAACCCACACAACGCGGTGCGTGGTGACGGTTATCAGGCCGGCGGTGAAGGTGGTGGGGCGCTTGTCGTGGGTGAGGATAGAGACGTTTTCGAGAGAGAGGTGCTCAATTTCGCCGGGGGAGGTGACCAACGTGCCCGTATCTGATAGCTGACAGGGCGAGAAAAACTCCATGACCGGAGCGAGGGGGACTGGGGTCGCCTTGTATACGAGAGGAGGCGGTGGAAGCGGGGCAAGGAGGACCGGAAGGAGAATGAGAAGAAACGCAATGGAAAAGTCCACGTTGGCAAGCTCTATGAAAGGAGGTGTCGAGTGTTAAGATATTTTGCCACATATTTATAATTGGGAAATTATATCTCGCTATTGCACCTCTTGCCCACTACAAAGTTTGTAGTACAAACCATACAACGATCTTTCATCTTCCTGAAGTCTCTTATCACCGCGTCTTTGGTCCTAGCGCCGTGCACCATCGCCACATCCGAAGAGCGAAGAGGGGAACAGCTGCGAAAAGCTCCCGGGAACATATTGCGCAGCAGGTGGCTACGTACCCCAGAGAATCCCATGTAGACAATGCATACAGGGCTTCAGAGTTTGCAAACAACCCACTCCCCCGAGTGCATTCTGCATCGAATGCAAGCGCTCACGCCGGCAACAAGCTTCCCTCCTCCCCCAGCCCCTCTGCGACTGCCCTAGCTACGGGTGCCCATTCCTCCACGTATCTCAAAAGCTCGCCCCACTTCTCCACCGTCTCGCGCACTCCCTCCATGATCCCATCCACGGCCTCAGCATAGCCCCCGACCCCACCGACCACGCTCGCTTGCGCGCGCACGCCGTCGACCAGATCCGCCGAGCGGGCCGCTCGTTCTCTCCACCACTCGTCCGGCAGGCGATCCCAGCGCGCCTTGATACGCGACGGATGCGCCGCGACGGCGCGCAAAGCGTTGTGGAAGGCGGAGAGGCAGGCTTGCAGGTCCGCGTGCGACTGGCGGAAGTGCGTCAGAAGCGCCTCGCTGCGCTGCATGCGCCGCGCGCAGAGAGCGCTTGAGTGCGGCAGCAGCGCGCGCGCGGAATGCGCACATTCGGAGGCGCTGCGGGTGGAAGTCTGCATTTGGGAGAGGTGGTCGGAGATGGCCGCGATGCTCGACAGGGAGGACAGTAGGAGTTTGTCCATTGAGACGAGCGAGGCGGCTGAGGGTGACGCCTCGAGCGCGTAGAGTGCTCAGGGCCGCGTGGACAAGAACCGCCAAGGTCGATGATGAATTACGGCCAAGTGCCCACGTCCACGACTCGTTTCCCAAATTTCTATTTTGACATCTACCGTATCACCGTAACACAGTTAGTTTATATATTTAGATGCGTCACCAGGTGCTCTGCCTGGCCGGCAGGTTCAGCATTATTCGATCCTCGCCGATCGACATGCGAACTCGACAAGCGCCTCGTGCGTTGGAGAGTAAGACGACGCTGCGGCAAGCGCTATGGTGTTGTGCCCCGGAATGCAACCAATTCCAATGAGAGTGGCGCAGCAGTGTTCATCCTATGCGGATCAACTTTTGAGTTGTGGCAGGAAACTGTACGAGCAGTATTTCAAGCGCAGTGCAATCCTCACGCAGAATAGGGAAGCAGATGCAAGCTCCGGAGCTTATCAAGCGCGAGCAACGAAGCGGCGATCTGATTGCTCTGCATGGCTCCCGCCTGAACAAGCTCCCTCAACTGGAGCGGGGTGACGCCATGCACGACATCCATATCCTCCTCCTCATCGCCCACCGCCGCGTCCTCGACATGCTCAGCATCCGTGCAAAGGTAATAAAAGACTTCCTCCCTCTGATACTTATCCTGCGGGGCGCCGCTCCCCTCAGCCCCCAACAAATTAATCCAGTGCCTACATCTCAGCTGGGCCTCCTCCTCCAGCTCAGCCGCTGCGGCAACCTCATTGCTAGCGTGCTTTGCCCTCTCCATCTGGCCCGTCGGGAAGACATAGGCAAACTTTGCGTGCGCAATGTTGTACTCGCGCACCAGGGTGAAGGTGCGTGTCGCGCGGTCAAAGGGGACGACCGTGACGACTGCGAACGAGTCATTCTTCCACACGCGCCCCCACACGTCGAATTCGAACTGCTTCCCGTCCGGGAACTGCACCTTGCGCGAGTACACGCGGGCGTACCGGTCGTACACGACGGCCTCGGAGAGAACGGCGTACTTGGCAGCGCGCGCGCGGAGCGCGTGCAGGAGCGCGGGCGTGGTGGCGGTGTGCGGGTGCGACGGGTGCGCGTCGGCGAAGAGATGGAGGACGAGAAGAAGGACGAGCGGGACGGCGAAGAGCAGGAGGGCGATGTGGCGGCAGGAAGGACGGTGGTTGGGGCGGTGCTGCATCTTTTGGCGTGGCGTCAGCAGAGCACGGAGGCGGCAGAGGACTCGCAATGGTCGCCTTGTGGAAATGGCGGAAGAGGATGTGTGGGGCAGGGCGTCATGTCTTGCTCTGTCGACGCTCGAAAGTGGTGGGAGTGATTTGTCTTGGATGGAGGTCAAGTTTAAAGGGCAAGTGTCGAAATACTGTAGAACAGAGGTACACGCTGGTACCGTAATTAGTCTCAGCCCCTAAATAGTGACACTACCAAAATGCTGTCAGTGTGACTAATACTGTACCAAGGGTACTGTACAGGTAAAGCGCCTGGAGACAAAGTTGAGATTTGTGTTACTGATGTACACGTTGCTACCCCCTCCGGCCAGACCTGCTCTGATCCGTCGTCGTGCATACCAAACACATGCGAACCTGCGCTCGCGATTCACAAAGGACCTGCACAAGTCTCTAAAAAGTTTTCAGGCTCACCAATAAAAACTGCATCTGCTAAGAGCTCTGCTCTTTGGAAGAAAAAAAGAGAGAAGAAGAGAATACAGTATAGCGCTTGATGTGTCAACCGGGACAAATACGAAACCCGATTCAGATGAATTGGGAAGACGACGCCTGGAGCACGTCCTTTCGATCTCCCAACACATCAAAATATGCATATGGACGGTTATAGAGTAGCAAGCTTCGCCCGACGACGCTAAACTGCACACTACAAAGCAGTCGCCATATATCCGCCGGTTTTAGAATCTCCAAAAATGGGAAAGGACTATGGTACTGTTGTGAAGATTTAGAATGGTGTGTACGCGTAAGCGGTGTAATGGTTAAATGCAGACTTGCACTATGAGTGAATACAATAGTCACTGTTTTCTTAAACCAATATCAGCCGCATATATCGCTAAACTGTGGGTGGAGCGTAGTTTTATGACACAAGAGGACCGGTCGCAGATGGAATTGGGCAGAAATGGAAGAAAGAAATTCCACGTTTGCCTGAAAGAGAGTAGCAATGATTATTTGTACGGAGCAGAAACCAAAGGGAAACAGATGATCTTCCTGAACACTACTAAAGCCTGCCTCACTCCTAAAGCAATGGGATAGATACCAGCGGTAGCAAAAAGTTTTTAAAGTCGACAAGGTCCCAATACTACACAAAATGTCGCTGTCCTTACAGTAACAACGCTGAACGTTATATTCTTCAGATGCATTGAAGCGTATAGAAGAAAAAGGGGGGAGGGGGGGACACGCATTAGTGCGAAGTTGTCAGTACAAAAATAGTGACACTCTGTGTGTTCCGATCTACTGTACAATGTCCACTGAACAGCCTGAGTGGGACTAATTACGGTACCCTTGGTACTGTACCTGGGTGTACAGTAATTAGACTCTAGACCAACAACACGACTTTGAGGCGCGAGTGGGCTCTTCATTGGCCATCCGCTCCGTTTTCAAATAGAACAAAAATCGCAAGCCCTTCCCTCATGCGGCCATCCCTCCCTCGAAACTCATTCTACCTCCCAACGCACTCACAGGCCTAGGCCCCTCCTCACCCCCATTCGCGACAACTCCCCTTGAATCCTGTTGGTCCGCCTCACTTCACCACTTCCCTCCCCCCCCCCCGCGCGGAGGGGGGGGAGGGGGGGGGGGGGGCGGGAGGGGGG